GAGATGTGAATAAAGAGCAGCTTCTTTTCATTTCAACAATGAAATTGAGTGGAGTCAAAGTTACTGATTCTTTGAGGGTTCTAAAGAAGGAGGTTGGGGGATCTCCTAATCTTTGTTTTACTGCTTCTGATGCTTATAATGCATTGTCATCTGAAAAAGCTGCCCAAATTGAAGGATGTGATGGTAACCAATTGATTAAATATTTTGCCAAGAGACATGTGGATGAGACAGATTTTTATTATGATTTTGAACAAGATGATAGTGGTGCTTTAGTTAGTTTTTTTTGGCGTGATGGTAGGATGATGAGAGATTATCATTACTTTGGAGATTTGTTGGTTTTTGATACAACTTATAGAACTAATAAATATGGAATGATATGTGCTCCATTTGTTGGGATGAACCATCATGGTAACAATGTCATGTTTGGTATGGGTTTTATTCTTAATGAGCGCACCGAGTCTTTTGATTGGTTGTTTGATACATTTTTGCACTCAATGGGGAGGAAAAGTCCCATTACAATTATGACTGATCAAGCACAAGCGATTGCAGCGGGTATAAGAAACATTTTTCCTTCAACTGTTCATCATCGTTTATGTGTATGGCATCTTGAACAAAATTCTAAGAAACACATTGGAGCATTGAGAGCTTTGGAAGGCTTTACAGATTTGTTTGGATATCTTTTGAAGTATTGTGAAACTCCTGCTGAATTTGAATATTTCTGGAAAAGGTAAATTATTGTTTTTTGTATTTATTTTTTATTTTTATTATGTGATATATTTGATTATTATGTGATATATATATGAACATGTAGTGTTTTACATATGATCATACAATTTACTTTGTTATGTATGTTATTATAATATTATTAGTGTCCATATTGTTTATGATCATTATTCTTTACACAAATGTACATATTTTAATTTATATTTTGTTCATTTTTAAATTAATATATGATCATTTCTGTTATACAGGATGTGTGATAAATACAAATGTGAAAATGATGATTGGTTATGTGATTTGTATAAAATAAAGGAAATGTGGTGTCCTGCTTATTCTAAGAAGTATTGGTCTGGTGGTATATTGTCTTCTCAACGTAGTGAAACTACTAATAAGTCAGTTTCACAACGTCTTAATAAGACTCAAGGTTTATGTGATTTTTATCATGTTTTTCTTGATGTCATTTCTGAGTGGAGAAGTAAGGAAGGTGCAAGAGATTACAATACTCTGAGGGGTAATAGGCACCTAGCTTTTGCTAATATTGGTATATTAGTTCATGCAAGATCATTGTACACTATTCAAGCTTATGTTCTTTTTGAAGAGGAGTTCATTAGGGGGACAGCTTATGATCATGTTGATAATGGTTTGCGTTTTCCAGAATATTCATATCTTCTTTGGAGGCCTGGGAAGGATATAATTAAGCATGAAGTTGTTTTTAATAAGGAAACACATGCAATTTGTTGCACATGCATGTACTTTAGTGAGACTGGTTTACTTTGTTCTCATTCTCTTCGAGTATATCATTTGCATTGTGTGCGTAATATTCCACAAGAGTATATAATGAAACGATGGACAAAGGCTGCCATGTGTAGTCATGGTATTGAAGAACCTATTTTGAGGACAAATGTTGTGGCTACTAGTGTTTGGAGGTCACAAACAATCAGAAAGTTTGTTAAGTTGATAACAAGTTGTCAGAATTCTTTGAATGCAAGGGCAGAGGTTGAGTGTTATTTCAATCTGTTAAAAGAAAAGGTTGAGAGTGTATCAGGTGTAATTGACTTTAGTGAACCTGTTAAAGAGGTTGAAATTGTTGATCTTGAGATCAAGAATCCTCCAAAAGCTAGGCCTAAAGGTGAGAGGAATGTAAGGCCTAAGAGTACCTTGGAGAAGCAGTGTAACAAGGCAAAGGGTAATTTCAAGAGGAAAAAGTCTCTGTACACTCCTTACAAAAGGGGTATAGGGCAAGCAGTTGTACAGGTATATGATCATTTCATATTTTCAAATTGATCATTTCAGTTTTCGTAAATGATCATTTATGTTTTTTCTTTTTAAATAGGAACTTGATGAGAACGGTTGTGCTGTTACTTATGCTAATTCTATTAGTGATCCCATTGAATTGATTGTTTTGAGCAATAAACGGGCTCAGGTAAATTCAAATGTGCCAAAAAAAACATTTTATTTATATTTTATTAATATTGATTTTTATAATTTAAAAATATAGGTCGGCTTAAAATCAGCTGTTGTAGAAGAAATTCCTTCTAGTTCTAAGGAATCAAATCATAGTATTTCCAATGATTTTGATCAGGTATATGAACATTTATGATCTATATTATAATTTTTTTTTATTTAATTTTTTATTTTTTATATTTTTTTTTGGTTTTTTTGTAGGCTACTGGTGAAAGCTCTCTTTCATCTATCATATCTATTGATGTTGATATTTCATCTATTGCTAAGGTTTTTTTTTTCCATATTTGTTTGTATAAGTGTTTGTAACTGATCATATACTGGTTTATTAATGATCAATTTAATTTTTTTTAAAGGCAAAGGATTTAAATCTTGAAGGTGTTTCTGCTGTTCAACCTTGTTCTAATTTTGTTGCAAATAAAGGTGCTTCTGGTGTTAAAACTTACTCTCAAATTAATCCAAGAGTTCCAATTCATACTAGTGCGTCAACAAAATCTCCTGTTGTTATTCAACCTACTGTTCCCAGGAATGTTCAAAATCAAACTCAGAATTGTTCAAACACCAATCCAGAAATGATCATATCCAACTCCAGGAATGTTCAATCAACAAATGTTCAAGTTATTTCTCCTACGGTTCAAATAAATGATCAAGGATTTCCTGTTCAGAATGTTCAAGTTACTCCTCCCACAGTTCAAAGAAATGATCAAGGTGCTCGTGTTCCAATTTTTCAATCAAGAAATGTTCAATTAGGTTCTAAAAAGATTTCTTGTAAATATGATAGGTTGTTAGCCTTTTTTGATACAAGTGTAGCTAAACGTTTGGCTAATAAAGATAAATAATTAGTATTCCAGAACTTTATAAACATTAGACTTTTTTGTAATGTTGATTTAATTACTATTTTGTAATTTTGAATTTTCGATCTATTATATAAAAAACTTTCATTCAAAGATTAAAATGAAATATCAATTACAATAATATTAAAATAAAATCCATAAGTCTACTTCTAAAAAAAAAAAAATAGTCATATATAAGAAATGAACATATACATAGTTGTAAATGAACATTTGAAACTACAAAGTTGCAAATTTTCTAGCTTTCCTTCTATTTGCTCTTGATTCAGTGTTTTCTTCAAATAACATCAGTTCTGCTGTGTATTGGAGCCTTAGATTTCTAATTTGTTCCACCTGTTGAACAAAATGAATTGTCAAATTTTAATTAAACAATCTTTACTGTTTCATAAATGAATATTATATCTTAAATAATTGATCATTTATAACTCTTACATTGTTTGGTTTTAAATCACAAATCCAGCTCTCATTAGGATCAGCAGTGAAGGTTTCCATATGCTTCATAATGTAAACTCCACAGTTTGTATAGTCATTGTTGCTACGCCATTTCATCTTTTCCAAAACAACTGTGTAGTCTTCAATTCTTTTTGCATCTTGATATCCAAGGTGTTTCATGTACTCTGCCAATCCTTTTAACTGATAGAAAAAAGAGTAAACATTGTTTAGAAGTTTGTATTGTGATGAAGACATGAACAATAAATAAAAATAATTGATCATGTAGTCAACTATAAATGAACATATTATCTCACCATCATTTTTGGTTGTTCTTCATATTTTGCTTTGACTGATACCTTTTTTGGTAGTTTTCTATTGTCAATTATATGAATTTTGTCTTCTATATGATTGACGCACAACAGAAAAAAATGTTGAGAAGTTGATACTGGGAAGAAGACCTGAACAAATTATATAATGTTATTGGACAATATATTGAATGTAATTGAACATTTGTATTAAACAAGAATTAATACCTGTTTATATCCAACAATGCTGTCAATTTTATTCAACTTCAGTTCATTGTCAATTCTTTCTATGAAGGCATTAATTCTTGTCTTCATTGATGATCCTTCTTGACAAACTCTATTTGTGCACATAATGTGCTGTTGAAATACAAACAAACATATAGAAGTTAAATGAATTTTTAGCAATTATTTATCATAGGAAAATAGAATCAATAATATAAAAAAAGAAGAAAGACTAACATGAAGCACTGTTGAGAAATAAATCTTGTTTCTCGGCTTTTTATGATTAAGAAACCTTGCCCATCCATCTATGACACAATTTGTCACTTCAACATCATCTCCAAGAGTTTTCATTTCATTTCTATTGATGAGATTCAAGCCATCATAGTATAAGAGTGCACTGCATTATGAACATTTAATAATATGAATGTGAACATATTTTTATAAAAGATATTAAACCTTAAGTTTAATTAGTGTAAGTAATTACCTTTCATCTTTTCCACCAAGAGCAAAGTCTACTGCAATTTGGTTCATGGCTTTCTCATCTTTAAACAGATCCTTGTACTTGACCAAGTAAGGAGATCGGAAAGCAGGAGGAATTGTTTTCTTTTCGCGTTTTGGTCTTGTTGTTCAATATAAAATATTGTTAAATTAAGAAAATTATGAGGAACATAAATGAACATTTGAGTGTATATAAATAAATTTGAAATTATACCTTTCAACCTTTTCCTTTTCAGTTTTTTTCTTCTTTTCTGCAATTGACTTTTTCTTATCATCATTCCTGGTCATATTACATAACACAAATGTACATTTAGGTATATGAAAATGTTCATTATTATTTTTGAACATTTACTTAATATAAATAATGTACCTTTTTGTGACTTTTGAGGATGAAGCAACAATCTTCTTGTTTTCACTGAAAAGTGAAACAATGTCAGTACATATTAATAAAATAAAAGCTTCTTATGTAACACCCTGAATCATTTTCAATTCATAAAATGAAAGATATTGATTTAACATAAACCTATTGATTTAACATAAACCACACATTCATATTACATATTCAACAAAATAATGTTCACACATACAATAGTTTGAGAAACACCAGTTTCAAGTTACAACACGATAGTAACATAAGTTAAATTTTTCCATCTAGATATTTTATCCTACACCATTACATAACCCTAATAGTAAGACATGTCTTCAGGATTTTACCCCTCCACTTTTTCATCATTTTTTGTTTTTTCAAAAACATCTTCCTTGTTTTGTTTTCCACCTTCAACTGTGTTTTTTGGATCATCACTTTTTTCACCACCATCTGACCTAGGGTCAGCATCAACCACTGAACCAGATCCTGCATCTAAGAAAAAATTTAATTAGATATAATATAATTTCTTTGTAAATGAACATTTGAGTATTTATAATTGAACATTATACCTGTTCTAGGCAATCCTTCATTATCTGACCTAGTGTCAGCATCAAATTTTGAACCAGTTGCTGCGTCTAACAAAAAAATACAATTAATAATGAATGTTTCTTGTTTGTAAATGAACATTTTACACTTTTTAATTGAACATTATACCAGTTCTAGAAAATTCTTCAATTCTTTGTTCTGAAGCTGCTGAAGTTTTACCCACATCCTTTTCTTCAGCTGTATTATAAATCATCATTTTGGAGATACACTAAGTTAATAGTATTTACACATAATAATTAGAAATGAACATTTCTACTTAAGTTTATGTACATTATTATTAAATATATGAACATATTACCATTTGTTGAAATTATTGGTTGTTCAATTATATCACCAAGTGTTGAAAAGGTGGGCCCTGTTTCTGTTTAGGACAATTTAGACCACAAATTTAGAATTTTTCATATAAAAATTAGGATATATAGTCTCTTTTAGTTAGAATTTACCAATAGCTGGAGAAGGTGGAGTCAACCCCAAGCTGAAAGCTTTTCTGATGTCATATTCTTGTTCTTTTTCCTTTCCCTTTTTGGTTAATTTCTTCCCAGTCATTTGCTTCTCAGTTGTTTGCTTTTCAGACCCTTGCATCAGATTCTTCTCAGCTTGTGCAAGTGCATTTAGGAAATCCTCACTGCCAAAGAATTCTTCATCTTGGCTTAGAATTGATGGTTCCCTAGCTACCACCTTTCCTAAAACTTCATCAACTTTTTTCACCAAGTCATTTCCAGGGAAGATATCCTTTGCCTTCACCAATTTTGAAGAAAGCTTTGACAGGTTTGAACAAGTTGTTTTTACCAGGGAAACAAAATCATCCATAAAAACCTATATGAATGAATATTAAAAATTATGCAGTTGAACATTTCAGATTATACAAATGAACATTTATGTTAACAAAAGTGATCATTTTATAACCTTAGGACTTTCTTCAACTTCTGCAGCAATCCTTGGTAGAATTTTCCCTCTCCCAAATCCCAATTCTAATTCAATCTTCAACCTCTCAAGAACCATGTCTCTATTCCATGCAGATATGATAGGAATTGTTCTTGGAGGCCTTTTGTCTAACCTCTGAACTCTATCAAAATAGAACAACTACAAGAAAAAAGAAAACATGGAACAGAACATAAACAATAAAAAAAAGTGCATTTATTTAAATTTAAATGAACATTTTGTATCTAAGAATATACCATCAGAAATTGAAGAGGGCCTTTGTAGAACCCCTTGCCTTGCTGCTTTCTCCAATCAACATGACATTTGATAAGTGAGTCATATACAAACTGACACCAGTTCAAATTTTTTATGTTTTCTTTGTCCATCATAGAATAAAGAAATTTGAAATGGCATTGATTGTTTGATACACATTTCATCAAGCAGTTCACAGCCACTGCTAAAAAGTTAGTAATGAAATGTTCACTTGGTGGTCTGTTGTTGGTGAATTTATCATTTATGTATCCATTCACAATCTGCAAACAAAATGAACAAAACATTTATACTTTTGATCATTTAATGTATTTAAAATGAACATTTAAAACTGATCATACCTGACTCACTGATGGAGTTTTTCCTGACCATGATTTTCTCCATTTCTTCAGAAATTCTGCATACTCCTCACTAATTTTATCAGACTTTGGCTCAACAATTGGAATTTCTCCTGTAGGCAAGCCATAAACTACCCTAACATCCTCTACCTCAATTTCTATTTTTTCATTCTTTGGTAGTTCAAAACACTGGCTATTTTCTTCAAAACTTCCCAATAACCAGTTACAGAACTTTTGATCAAGCTGAGGTAAACTAATGTCAAGAAGTGATCCTAACCCTATATCAACAACTTGTTGTTTTTGGGTAGGTGTCATCTTTTTTATCCATGCAATGAACTTCACATGTCCTCCTCTCTTTGAAGATTTCTCTTCCTCAAATTCATCTTCCTGAATTTCCTCAACTTCATCAGTTTCTATTGCTTGAACCATTTCAGTTTTCATTTTCTTTTTTCTCCTACCTTCAATCTTTCCTTCATCATACAGTACCATCTTTTGCTCCTCCTTTTCAACCTTTGCCTTCACTGAATTCCCTTTCTTTGCCTGTTTCTTCCTTGGCTTTACTTCATCCTCTTCCTCCTCTTCCTCCACCTCATAATCATCCTCACTGACAGGCTCTTCTTCTGCTCTATAAACTGACTCTTCACTATCATCATCACTGTCAGTAGAACTTTCATCAGTAGGATCTTGAGAGGGTTCATCTGATGGTACTTCTTGTATTTTTTTTCTCTTTCCAGCATTTCTCTTGGCAGGACTGACATCTGAAAATTAAATATATATAATTTTGTTTAAGTATTGAAAATGTACAGTAAGCAAATGATAAAATGAACAAAATTGTTTTCTCAAATGATCATTCTATATATAGAAATTGAACATTTATAATATATCATTATATACCTGCTTTTCTTTTGCCAGCAACCTTAGAAGTTTTCTTCACTTCTTCTAGAGTTTTCTTTTTCCCACCTATATATTGAAATTGAACATTAATGATATACCATCATAAATGATCATTCTATACATTAAGATTGAACATTTACCCTTTTTGCCTTGGTCTGGAGGATATTCAGCAGGAGCACCTGCCATTTTTTTTATTGGAGTAGGTGCTGGAGGTGGTGCATCAGCTTCCTTTTGAATAGGAAAATTCCTTGTAGACATTCTTCTCTTCTGTCCTATTTTTGCGGTTTCTTTAGCAGGTTCAACATCCTTCTTCAGGCTTCCCTTTTCAGATTCATCTAACAGAACATCTATTGTTTTTAAAAAAAATTTATGTTAGTATATTTGAAAGTGTAATATTTATTGTGTAACAGAAAAGTATTATGATTACCTTGGCTCCTTGTAATTCTACCACTTGGCACAACAACAAGGCTTTTGTTTTTGTTTTTCCTTGCAACCATTTTGTATCTTGTTTTCATTTTGGTTGACTGATCACTTTTTTGTGATGATGGAGCTGTCTCCTCACTAAGTTTTGTGGAAACTTTATCATCATCTTGATCTAGAAGATAAGTTTCATCCTCAATTTGAACAAAATCAGGTGCAATTTGTGCTGCATATGAAATGATCAAATATAAAAGATTAAATAAACATTTATTAAATTGGATGACAAATGTTTACTATATACAATATAAATGAACATTTCAGGTAATGAATATGTACATTTTCCACTATTTACCTTTCGGATCTGTTGTCTTTGTAGACTCATCTTCCACTGTTTTCTCTTTAGGGATTTTCTCCTTTTCAGGCTCTTTTTTTCCCTCTTGTCCTTCTATGAAAATTTAATTAGTTAATATTTATATATTTTTTTAATCTTATTGAACATTCAATATTATGTAGATCCAATATGAACATTTTATGTAATAAAAATGTACATTTATAAATTTTTACCTTCTACATTTGTTGTCTTTGGAAAGACATCTTCCACAGTTTTGTCTTTAGGGCTTTTCTCTTTTTCAGTCCCTTTTTTTCCTTCTTGTCCTTCTATTAAAATTTATTTAGTTAAAATTTAATTTTTTTAATCTTATTGAATATTTAATATTATGCTTTTCCAATATGAACATTTTTTGTAATAAAAATGTACTTTTTAAATTTTTTACCTTTTTCCACAGTTTTCTCTTCTATTGGCCCTTTTTCTTTCTTTTTTGCTTCACCTTCAAAAGTAATAGTATTGTTAAAATTGATATTTATGACTATTAAACAAAAATATTCAATAAATATGATCATTTACCTTTCCTGATTTCCTTGCTTGCCTTTTCCATTCTTTTGAGATTTCTCATAATTCTGATTGTCGATTCTTTGTACTTTCTGTAAATGTATGATATTAACTTTGAAATATATTCATTAATTGATTAAATTAATTCAATTATTTAAATTTAAACATACTTTGGGTTTCTCTCTATGTCTAAATGTATTTCTTGCATCTTGTCCTTTAATGTTGTTATTCTTGAATCATCTTTGGGTTTTCTGATATTTCATTAAAAATATGTTTGAATTTACAATTTTGATTAGTAAATAAAAAAATGAACATATAACTTATATTACTATTGGTCATGAGCAAACTTTTTTGTACTGATTTTCAAATGAACATATAGTCTATCTAAATTGAACATTTAAGTTTTCTTACTTTTGGCCAAGACTATTCTTTACTGGATTGCTTTGCACTTTTGGTTGAACTTCTTCTTGCTTGCTGAAATCAATATTAAGAAATACTTTAAATAAAAAATGCACATAAATTGTACATAAAATATACTGTTATAAAAATGAACATTTATTTATATAAAATTGATCATTAGTATACCTTTCATCCCTACTCTCTTTGTCAGTTGTGTTATGTGTAGCAGACACACTCTTAGTTGTTGCATTAGTAGCAGGAATGTTCTCACTTTGTTCACTTAAAAAAAACAGAATTATTTTATATAATATGATATTAAAGTATGAACTAATTTATACAATGAAGAAGATAATTAGTTATTTTGTATAAAGCTTTTATACCTTATTGTTTGATTTGTCTCTGGTGGTCTTGATTTTGACATAACAAATTTCACTCGAACCTTTTTTTTTTCACTAAAATTTTAAGAATTACCTAATAAGTTTGGTATATATATACAATGTACAATAATTGAATGTAAAAACAATTATTTTATACATATAAACTTACTTGTTTAAAGTGTATCTTTCATAACTATTACCATATTCATTTTGTTCTATAACCTTCTTTAGAGTTAATGGTTCAGATTTCCCATCTCTAAATTGAAGCAAGTGTATCACTCTAAATGGCACATCACTACATTATAAATTAATTACATGACATTAGTTTGAATGCATATCACTGAAATGATTATTATCATATTTATATATGTGCATGATGATTTAATGAAATGTATATTTGTTATTTAAATCTCAATGAATACTCAAATGAACAAATATACATATATGATCATAATTATATCTATAAATGAACATTATGAGTATCAAATATGATCATATACAATGATGTTTCAATGAAATGTACTTTTGTTTTTAAATCTCAATAAATACTCATATGAACAAATATAAATATATGATCATAACTATATCTATAAATGAACATTATGAGTATCAAATATGATCATATACAAATAACATATTAAACAAAGATAAAACCAATTTTATCAAATACAACTAGCATATTAGACATGAACATAATATATTCTGTAAATGACTAATTACCTTGGTAGTGGAGACATTGTTAAATCCGTACCAATTGACTTGTCAATATCTTTTAAAAGTTCCGGATCTACAATTGGATCATTTTGGCGGTTTTTTTTCAATTTGTCTACTCTTGACTGAAGAGGTACATCATCATCATCGTCTCTGTTTTATTTAATAAATTGTTAATGTTTTAGTTATTTTCAGTAAAATCTTAGAACAATTACTACAATCGCAAAAAATTTTAACAAAAATTAGGTTTTACAAATAAATTCGCTCTATAATTTTCATCGCAAGAATATGAACAAATTAGGTTTTACAAAAGTTAGAGTTCATACATTTCTTCAGAAATTTTCAACAAATTACTCGTCTCTGAAGTATTCTTCTCCAAAATCATACTACAATTGCAAAAAATTGAACAAAAATTAGGTTTCACACATAAAATCGCACTATAATTGTCATCGAAAAAAAATGAACAAAATTACTTACTCTTTAGATACATTTTGCTCCGATTTTGCAGTTTCTTCTTTCATGTTCTTCTCTGTAGTGGTTTTTTGCAAAATCGCACTACAATCGCAACAAAATGAACAAAATTAAGGTTTCACACATAAAATTGCACTACAATCTCAAAAAATGAACAAAACTAACGAAATTACTTACTCTTTTTTTTGTGATTGTTTAATTTCATCTCGAATATCAGACATTTGAAGCAATTATGAAGTGTTTTGAAGCAATTTTGCAATAATTTGAAGAGAATTTCGTTCCGATTCGACGGTGTTGATGAGAGAGAAATTCTAGAGAAATGAAGAAGATGGTTTTTAGAGAGAGAATAATTTGAAATGGATAGTTTTTTTTTTTTTTTAATAATATATATGTGGGGTAGGGGAAGTTATTTCTAATTTACTGTGGTTAGTGGGAGTGAGTGGGGGTAGTTACTGTAGTTTGTGGGGGTAGGGGAAAAACGCAAACGCTGCGTTTTGTAGGGGGTGTAGGTTATGGTACCTACACTAGGGTGTAGTGTATACTAACTAGCGGTTCAAATCCAATAGTATTGCTATATGGGCCTCTCTGCCTTTTACTTTAGCTTATAACGCAACCATGACCAAAGGATGATGCTAATATCCAGTTACTTTTCATTTTAATAATTTTTCTTAAAGTAAATAATTTCTTTTTCATCAAAGTAGATAGGGATTGCTTCTACTCCCTCCGTTTTTTAAAAGTGAAACGCTTTACACAACCGGATTTGTAGATGCTAAACACCTTGCTTAATAAGAAGCATTTTTTTTAATCTTAAAATTGTATTTTTCACGTTAATATTATAAAGATAAGACAATTATCACAATCTAATTGCGAATTTATTAAAAGTGATTTGTAAATTATATAAGACCCCGACTACAAGTTACTACTTTGTATCATGCAGGTTAGAGTAATGAGCTACAACCTTTTATGATTGATTATTACTAATTTCACCTTCCTTTTTTTTTTTTTTTGTTTTTTTGTTTTTTGGGTGTTGGTGAAATTAAACAAGGATGATAATCAACTGAGTCGAGAGCTAACTTAAGTTGATTAACGCTAGTATAAGCCCATACGGCCATACCTGATATAGTCCATACCCAAATTCTTTTTTGTTTCTGTTTAGTTTATACGGTTACTATTGATAAATAAACTGTACCAGATATGAACCTATACTTACTCATGTAGAGGCATGATGGACCGCTACGCATCTAATCATCTTTGCGATTTAACAGAAAGGTTGTCCTTGGGTTAAGGTACAAGTCATAATACAACTCATACAAGGGATATGTTGAAATAAAAAAAAAAGAAGAAAAAGAAAAAGAAAAATAAAAATGAAAAAGGAAGACGGAAAGGTTGCTTGATTGAAACACAGTTTCTGCAAGTCAATCAATCTTTCTCTCTCCTTCCACAGCTGCGAAGAAGAAGATTGACAGAAGATGGTATTATCGCAGAAGATTCACGAAGCATTCAAAGGTACAGTGGAGCGAATTACTGGGCCCCGCACTGTTTCCGCTTTCAAGGAGAAAGGCGTTCTCAGTGTCTCCGAATTCATCCGTGCCGGCGATAATCTCGTCTCCAAATGCCCTACTTGGTCTTGGTATTTTTTTTTTATAAATAAATTTCAATTGTTTCATTTTAATTTCACCTTGTTGACTTCAATTTAATATTAGAAATATATTTTCATTTACGATAATATCTGGTTTTAATTCTTATGGACGAGTATAATTTTTGGAAATTGGGGATGTCATTGTTGGATACTTAGTGTTAATTAGGATTTTTTTCTGCTTAATTACCTAAATTTTACCTGTATTAGTACTAATTACTTAATTGGGGGGTGCTTCTTGGTGATTAAATTGGAGGATATGTTTGTTGATTGAGTATATTTAGCTCGAGGGACGTTAGATAGATTAAGTGATAAAGAGGGATTTGATTGGTTTTCTTTGGGTGATCAATTGCTGATGGATGATGTTTATACTTTGAACTCTTTTACAAAGTATGTGTTTTGAAATTTATTCATTTGAGGAATTGAAGAGTAAGGATGTTTATATTTTAGGGGAAACGTTGGAAATAAAGATTTTTCTAGCTCACTGATCAAGGGTAAAGGACCTTTGTTTTGAGATAATATTGGCATTGACACTTTGTTTGGGTAAGAGAAAATGGGGAGAGAGGGAGGGGAACACGTTCCCTTGTTCGGACAAGGGTTGGGAGAGGGAAAAGGGAGGGCCCCGTCTTTAATTATAAAACACCCCTCTAAAATTGGAGAGACTAGCAACTGATATAGATTTACAGTGTGTTTGGATAGAGATTAGAAAGGAAAGGGAGTGAAGAGGAAATGAGAGAAGGGGAGGGGAAGGAGGAAGAAATTTAATTCCATTGTTTGGATGATGGAGAAATGGGAGGGAAATCTAAGAACAGGGCCATATTTGTTAGAAGAACTAGAGATAGAAGCAGAGGGGAAGAGGGGAGGAAGCTATAAAGGGGTGGACAAAGAAGCATGGGAAAGGAGGTGAGAGAAAGTAACGAAAGAGTAGATGCAGAACTTTATGACCGGATTGTTACCATTTTCTTTCCAAATCTCTCCAAAATTGGAGCGATTAATTTCTTAAATATCAAAGGACACAATTTCCTTTCATTCTCCTCCTTTCCTTTTCCCTCACCCTCTTAATGTACTATCCAAACAATGGAAAATCCCTCCCTTCTTTTCTTTTATTCCCAAATCCCTCAACCCAAACACACTGCTAGGGAAGGGGTAGGGAGGGTACTGGAGAGAGCTCCGCCTCCCTCTCCTTTTCTTTTCTCCTCTCTTTCCTCCTCTTTCCCTCACCTTCCATATCCTTTTATCTTGCTATTCAAACAAATTATGAGCGATTGCTGTTGTTACCTTTTCCTGGGACTGCTGCAAGCTTCCAATCTGAATACTTACTTAGAAACTGTTATAATTTCTGCAATGCTTTGGACAGGGAATCCGGTGAACCCAGCAAAAGGAAGCCTTACTTGCCACCTGAAAAACAATTTTTAATAACGCGAAATGGTGAGGCCTGTTCTTTTTATCCCTTCTCATTACTCTGCATGCTTTAGATTTGTCAAAGTATACAATATGCTTTGAAAGTTTTGTTGATAGACATTTTTGTAATCTTTTCCGCTGAACCTGCATTTGATTTTTTTTTTTTTGGTTACTTTCTTTGAACGCCACCTGTTTATAACTAGAGTATGGGTGGGGACTATTGATTTTTTTCCCCCTACCATGCTATCTAATACTTCAGAGGCAACAATGTTGACCTTAAGAGTTATATCTTATATCAACCAATGCAGTTTCTTGCTGGGAAAGTATTTTCTTGCTAAAATTTCTAGCTTTATCTGTAGTTTGTTTTATTATCTTGTTTACTTCAATTAAGATGGGACCATAAAATTTATGTAATTCCTTTACAGTTCCTTGTCTTCGGCGGGCTGCATCTGTGGAGGAAGAATATGAAGCTGCTGGGGGGGAAATTCTGCTTGATGATGAAGATAATGATGGTTGGTTAGCTACTCATGGAAGACCAAAAGGTTTGTTGTCGATCTGGATACATGTTAGTTATTGTAATGTTTATTTTGAACTCAATGTATGTACTGTATGCTGTAACCTCTGCAGAACCTAAGCCCGATGAGGAGGAAAACTTGCCCTCGATGGAGTCATTAGAAATCACAGAAAACAAACCTATACAGTCTATATCTTCATACTTTGGAGGTGAAGAGGACGATGATATTCCTGAGATGACAGAGTATGAAGGACAAGACAATGTAATTGAAGCAGATCTGGTAAGTGTATACTACTGTACTGCACTAATGCATTGTAATAAAGATATTTTAATTTATAAGTTTGGATTGGGATAGTTTATAGTGATGTATACTTTACTGGCTGATCTTTGGCACTAGGTAGATATTTTTTAATGCTATATTTTTACTAGGAAAATACCTTTGTTAGGACTCTTAGGAGAGTTTGGCAGCTCAAGTAAGAGAATGTGGGTCCTGCCTATGCCATATGCCTGTAATCTGCTAAGTTTGGATGCAGTGGTTTAGATGTTCTTTTTCACTCAAACCTGCAATTTGATATGCTTTGATTCACGCAAAATTGAACATCACATTGCTATATAAGTGACTCCTCTAGGTCAGCATAGAGGGCTTTTCTTCCTGCTATTTTAAAATTTTGATGAATTCCTCCAATTCCCAGTCTGCCACAACAATATTTGATTGGGTTTTATTTCAATAACTACTGCTTATCGCAATTCTCTGGGCATCAAAGTTTTTGAAGAATTTCTTAATTTTTTAATTTCAGGCAACTCTTCAGACCACATATCTAGTTGCTGAAGAACCTGATGAAGAAAATATACTACGAACTCGCACATACGACGTCAGCATTACGTAAGATGCAATCTTTACTATAGTGGTTCATTTGATATTTTACGATAAGTTATCTACAACATTTTGATAGCCTCAGTAAGTAAAGTTTATTTGATGGTTCGTTGATAATGTTAAATAATGATCACCTAATTTTACACAAAGAAAGGGAAAGTTGGGTAGAAGGGTTTTGCAGTGCTACCGGCCTGATTTTGGTTTCTTGTGAGAGAAGCAAGCAGAAATCCTAGTTGTAAGGATTTGAAGGTTGTATCAATTTTTGGTTTGTGAATTGTGTGACTCATAGTCCACACCGTAAAAAAAAATTGACTCGGGGGATATTGATTTGATGCATGTGGGCTTGTGAGTCTGTGACTGATACATAGGAAACCAGCATAAAGTTTGATCACTAGAAAGTTCCTTAGTTTTATGTGCAAAAAATTTACCTGTCTTGACTTAGCATCCACTCTTAACTCATGGGACATCATCAGCTTTATAGTTTAGATTTGGGGTCATTTACTGTTTACCAATGACAGATTGATTTTCTCCAATGCCTTAGCCGGGAAAATTGTGAATTATTCTTTGTAGTGGACCTATCTGTCTGAATGCTTTCAAAATAGAACAGATCCTATTATAAAGAATTGGAATGTAGGTAACCGTTGGGCATATGTTGGCTTATCTTTAGGTTTCCTGCTTTCTTATGTATGTATGACTTTGGAACTCACAATATTGCATATGCATGTTGTTTGTTAATGAGAAAATGTGGACAGTGTTCTTTTTGTGATATTGCTTATTTTACATGTGAATTAATTCAAATTGCAATTTGATGTAAGTTCATGTAAAGATGAACTTTTTTGTTTCATTTCTTGCTGAAATTTTTGCCATTTTTTCTCCTGCAATTCTCAAAGAATTTGTATGATTCCTCAGGTATGACAAGTATTATCAAACTCCTCGTGTATGGCTAACTGGATATGATGAGGTCAGTCAATTGTCTTGTTATCTTTTGTTTGTTGTTGGTAAGTATCCTGCTATTACATATATTAGGCTTTCTCAATATGCCTAATTAGTTGTAGAAAGACAAGCCACATATCACATCAGTTCAAATTATATGTCTGAGAAAGAACGTATGGCTTTGAATCCTTGAAGCATACCACGAGAAGAGATTGGGATCTATGGTGTTATTTCTGAATTCTGATAAAGATTGTCTACACTCTTTCTAATGCAAATGTATGATTTACTCACTCAGATGCATTTTTGCATTTTGATACAGTCAAGGATGCTTTTGCAACCAGAGCTTGTGCTTGAAGATGTTAGTCAAGACCATGCTCGCAAAACGGTTAGATATTGATTTATTCAATGATGGCAATCAGCTTTGTCTTTCAGCCTTTCTTTTCAGTGCTTAATTTACATTCAAGCCTTACGTTTCTGCATTCTGA